TGGCCTTTGCTTCCCATCTCCTTGCTCCCATACCCAGTCAGACACTTGCGAAGAAGAGAGAAGGAAAAGGGAAGTAGCGCTAGCAAGAGGAGTTCTGTATTTATCTCCTACCTGCCCCGCTGAATCTTACCATAACATAGACCGTAAGATTTTGGGGGCAGTGACTGCTTTTCACTACATGTGTGTGCAGCACCTTGCTCCCTGGACTCTCAGTGACTTCAATCAGCTTTGGATCATGCCTCCAATAGTAACTCACTACCACTTACTTTCCTCCCTTCTAAAATTTGCAGACAGTGTCACCTACTCTTTAGTGTGTGTCCATCTGGGGTGACAACGTCACTGTTGTCTGCGACCATTGTCTTCTATCACAGATAAGCACAGTGCCATTTTCACAAAGTGGTTGCGGCTCCCAGGCCCCCAAATTATACCAATTTTTTCATTTTGCCTTATTTATCTCTATGCTTCTCCAGTCCCCAGTGATTTCGACATCAATTTCTAGCAGTGGAGGGATTCTTGGTTTTAGTTTCCTGTTTAACAAGCTAGCAGCTGGTGACAGCCTATGCGTCAGTGGTGCCATTCTGTGATTAAACAGTTCTAAGTAGGATCAGAGTCTGGCTCTGCAGCCTTTTTCTATAGGCACTTTATTATTTTGACTCACTTTGCCACCGGCCCATTGGATTGGGGATAATAAGGAGGCAGTCAACTGCCAAATCCCCCTACTTTATTGCAAACTACTTAAACTCATGCCCACTAAACTTGGCACATGGATGTATAATACTGTCAGATACATCCATGTCGAGCAAAAATGGAGTTGAAATGCACAATCACCTGTTTGGCTGTAGTATCTCCTTGTAAGGCTGTCTCAGGGATGTGATAATAATAGTCTAGGACAAGTGGATAGTGTCGTCCCCCCCCGCCTATAGAAACATATCTATGCTTTCCTCATGGGTCCAGCTCTCAGTGTGCATCTCAGTAGCAGGGCTCTGCATGGGCAATATACTCCAAGAATGCGAGCTACAGGTAAGTAACCTCTTTTCTGTGTGGAAGCAGGACAGGAAAACAGGATGCAGTCGTAAACCGTGAGTTTATCATGTAAATGTTGGTTATTTCCCCAGGCACTGTTTGACTTTCCTAGGGTATGTCTACACTACAGGATTAATCCGAATTTAGATAATTCGAATTTGGGAAACAGGTTGTATAAATTCGATTGTGCGCGGCCACACTAAGCACCTTAATTCGGTTTTTAACCACATTAATTCGGTGGTGTGCGGCCACACTACCCCATTAACTTAAACACAGTAATTCGGTGGTGTGCGGCCACACTAACCCTAATTCGAATTAACAAAATCGATTTAGGCTCTACTCCGTTCGTCGAGGTGGAGTACAGAAATCGATTTAAAGGGCCCTTTAATTCGAATTAACTGACTCTGTAGTGTGGACGGGTGAAGGGTTAATTCGGATTAACGCTGCTAAATCCGAATTAATCCCGTAGTGTAGACCAGGCCCTAGAATCAGTACACTGGAGCTGACTTCAAGAAGGGATACTTGATCTATCCATGCAGCAGGATCAACAAAGACTAGAGGTGAGACTGAATTTGGATCACAAAGCTGTCGGGGTGCATAAGCCATTAGCCTACTAGGGACTAAGCCTCCATCTCCAAATTCCAGGATTCTTACTTTCTGGGCTGTGTTTTGATTTCAGGTTTTCTCTTCTTTGGCATTTGGGTTTCACTTCTACTCCTTCCCTGTAATACCATCTGGATTCTGGATGTAAGCAGAGTCAGGATGAGCTCTACCCTGACATCTGGTGGTGAATTATGGCGAGTGTGGAAAAGAACTCCAGGGGCGGATCTTGTTTGCATAGGCACACCCCCATGCCTAGCATGAGCCCACAGCAACCGAAAGTGGTTACTTTGGCTGGTGTGGGATCCCCAGTTTCTCTGTTATTGGGGCAGGAAGAATAAAGTTTTGTTACCCTGATTCTGTGAATCAAGGCCAGTGGAACTGTTGTATGACAGAAGGACTGAGTGAATCCTTCACCATTACCTAAGTAGCATTTGCTTGTCAAGGGGCATGGGTTACAAAACCCAGCAAATTGAGAGAGGTTGGGGGCAGGTATTGGTACCTGGTGGTGTGGGGCACCTGTGTGAGCCTGAAACACCAATTGTACCTTCTCCTCTCTCCACTGTTGAATGTCAGAGCTAACTTTGATTCCCTTAGGAGTCTAGTTACAGGCTGCTGAGCTGAGTTCACTTTGGGACACTAGTGCACCAGCACTGGGGCTCCCCTATGAGCTGAAATCACTATGAGCTGAAATCACAAAAGAGCTAAAGTTACTAAGAGCTGAGATCACTGAGGCTGTGTTAACTAGTGGGGGAGCCTGAACTGCTAAGCGGTTGGCGGAGCAGTTTGCGGGGACGGCTGGAGGAGCAGCTAGCCGAGTGGAGCCTCGCGGGGACGGTTGGAGCAGAGCGGAGCTGAGCGGCTCACAGGTCGGTGAGCAGAGCAGAGCAGTTCGTGGGACGACAGGAGCGGCTCACGGGACAGCAGGTGGAGTGGAGCGGCTCGTGGTGAAGGCTGCGGCGGAACCCCACGGAGAGGCGGCCGGTTGGTCTCGGATCACGTAAGGTGCCCCTTAACACCCTGCGCCCCCCCCCTGAACTCTGGGGCTGCACTGACCAGGGACAGAGACTTTGGGGGGGGTTGTTGGACTTTTGGGACTTTGGTGATTCTTGGGTTGCTGGACCCAAGAGACTTTGGGGTTGTTGGACTTTTGGGACTTTGGTGATTCTTGGGTTGCTGGTTTCAAGAACCAACGGGAAAGGACACGGCCCAATTTGCTGGGGTGGGTCTTCGCTCATGGTTTGGTCTATGAACTCTAGTGTGGTGTTTTCCCAATTTAATGCTATGTCGTTTACCTCATGTTATTAAACATTTTCTGCTACACCGAGGCTCTGTGCTTGCGAGAGGGGAAGTATTGCCTCTTCGAGGTGCCCAGGGGTGTGTGTAAGATTTTCCCAGGTCATTGGGTGGGGGCTCGAGCTGGTTCTGTGTCACGCTGTTGGGAAGGGACCCCTATGTACTGAACCCGGCCCTTGCTGCTATCAACTTGGCCTGGCAGAAAGGTTACATGTAGAAATGAGTAGCACGCTCAAGGGCCACAGAAAGCAGAAGGAAACTCCTGTTTAGATGTGATTAGATTGCTTTTGTTTACGTGGCTTGGTACGTACTGTACTTCATCCACTCACACCACCCTATCTAAAAGGGGACTTGGGCGATATGGCAAGATTGCGAGAACAGGCTGGGGGTGCATGCAAGCTGATTGCTGATATGGTATCTGTGCTCTGTGAAAGACAACAGCCTCTGAGGGGAGGTGTCTGATTTGTGTATATGAGACACTGCCCCAGTCCTTCTGCAGCTGACTACCCCATCCAGCACTCCTGTTACAGGGATGGCATGAGGTCACTTCCATTGAACTCATCTCCTTATGTGATCATCGTCACAGATCCAGTCAAGCACCTCCTCTTAGCTGCCCTCCAGATTGGTGTGAGGGGAATCCAAGCCTTTGAATCTCTGGCTGTTAAGCCTCCCTGAGACCGAATGGAGTCCAGGCGCTGTCCCTGTCTTGGGGCCTTGTGACTGTGACTCATCCACCAGCGTGCCCCATTGTGGCTGGGCACAGGGTTTTCCCTCCTTTTGTTGCCCTGCCAGCCAGCCATTCAGGCTTGCTGCTGGTGGTCCCCTCTGTCTTGCAACTCAGCCTCCTCCAGCCAGGTCACACTCTGACTTACCCCGAAGTGGTGGAACTGAGTCCAGACCAAAACAGTATGGCAGCCTTGTACCAGGTCTCTGGCTCAACTCTAGGCCTACTAGGGCTTGTGACTCTTGTCCAGAGCCTTCACCAGGCCTTTCCTTGGGGGCCCATAGGGGAACCCAACCTCCTTCTATCCTGGGTTCCAACCCAGCGTCCCTGTAGCGGGTGGTTAAGGTCTGCTTCTTCAGACCACCTACTTCTTTCCTGGGCTTCTTGCTACTGCAGCCAGCCTCTAGCCCTTCCTCCCCAGCTGTCCTCAGGCCTCCAAGGAAAGGTAACAAAGGAAAGCACAACACAAAAATAGTCCAAGTATGCCCCTGGCCTCCCTCCTTTTAGGAGCTACCTGATGAGCCTGGTTCAGCATCCTCAGGGCTTTTGTGCATTGTTTGCAGGAACCCTCTACTAGCTTCATCCACCACGATGCTCATTTCTGGGAACTAATGGGGAGAGGTCTATGTACCTTCCAGGACTGCACCTTCTGAACTGGGCATCTCCCTTTTTAAGGCTCCTCCTCTAAGAATGGCATGCCTAACAGGTGTGGTGGGGTGGGGTTGCCCAAGCACCAAACTGCTCTTAACACCTTCTTGCCTAGGGTGGGGTTTGCACACCCTGACACAGGTCCATAGGCGCTCCCTTTGGGGTGCAGGCTCTGTTATCCCTTCCTGAGAGCTTAGATTCCCCCCTCCCATCCATGTCTAGCTACTTACCCCCTGGGCTCATGCTGACCCTGCAGACTCTGCTGTAGTTTAAACACATCCTCTCCCAGAATCCCACAAAAAATATGAGCCTTCTGGGTTACTGTTAAGCATTCTCAGGGGCCATGTTGTAAGTGCACCATGAAACACACACACACACAGTTTGCACAGGTATAGCAACTTAATACTCTTTGTTTAGTAGCACAAGATATACACATACATACAGAATAACAGCCCTGCCTGCATTTCACTGCCTTACCTTCTTCACCACTGCAGAGTATCCTAGGGCCAGAGCTGTCTGAAGCCGTGCAGGTCCTGCTGCTGCAGAGCATGGCTTGGATTCCCGGAACATGGAGCCTTCTTCAACCCCCTGCCAAACCACACAGCTTGTGTCCTGTGGCCTTGGTCTATCCACTCCCCTCCTTCCTTCCTACTGCCCCAACTTCCTGTGTGCTTCACCCCCAACCTCTCTGTGGCTCTGTGTCCACCTACCAACACCTGGCTTTCTTTGTTCTGTTATGGTATCTTTCCACTGCTCCCAGAAAACCCTTCCCTCAGTTTCCTAGGATGAAGTTACTCTTTTGAATGACTATGGTCCACTTTAAGTATTCCCCATTGTCCTCAGTCTGGGGAAGGCATGCTTTCAGGCTTGTGGGACATGCTGGATTCACGTATGGAAGGGCATTCATGATACAGAGGTTTCATAAGAGCAATTCCATAATATCAACTACAATTCATTAAGTTATTCAGAAAGATCCTCGATCATCACAATGAAATGTGGGGAATTCTGGTGGTTATCTTCATGGAAATGACGTACATTTCCACAGCAGATCACATGTAGCAAAAATAGTGCCCTCTTTGTCGTTCTTTTCCTTCCACTTGTCCCAAGGAACTGTCCACGATGCCACTGGAATCTTCCCATGTGCTTTTGTGAAGATCATTCAAGACTTACCCCTGGAGGAGGGCACTATCAATTGGCTGCGCTGCTATTACCAGGATGACACTCTCCACAGCATCAGGTAATGAGATGATGCTTTCATGTGACTGCTGGAGAGATGCCCAGACTCCTGCAGCCCAGTCAGGGATCTGCTCTGATCATGTGAGATGACGATGTCTTTTCCCTCTTCTAGGGACATATCAGTGGAAGAGGACCTGAGCAGCACCCCATTGTTCAAGGACCTCATGGCATTAATGAGGTACAGCACAGGCAGATGGAGGAGGTGCAGCCACTACTGGATGCAGAGATTCACTCCCAGGCATATTTCCTGAGTTCCTCCCACTCCTGGCTGCGTTAGGGTCTGTCCAGCCATCCCAGTGTTCTGGGCTTGACATACTCTTCCCTATTACTCTGGAGAGTTGGCAGTTGTTACAACCTAGCCCAGTACCACTCTGTATGGTCCCTAGTCTGTTGTGAATGGACCCAATGACTGGGTCCCATGTGCTTCCAAGCCAAGTGGGCCTGGGCAGAGTCTAGTCATTGTTTCTAGCTGTGGGAGTCTAGGACACACTCCCAGGCTTGGGCCTTTTGTCTGACACCCTTGGGATGTGGGGCACCACTGTCCAGCCACCCTAGACCCTTAAACTGGTGTCTGAGACCTGCTGAGCACCCCAGTCATTTAGTCCTGCTCCCCAGATGTCCTCTGAGGCTGTGGGTCACTCAGGAATTCTAGTTTAACCCCTTAGGGGACAATGTGGCAGAAAAGCGAGGAACGCAGACTTAGCAGAGGAATTTCTTAACCACAGAGACTTTACTCTTAAAGGACTCAAGAGTTACAGCTCTCTGAAAACAAAAGTCCTGAGACACCTCCTCCCCTGGTGTGTGCTCGCCTCTGCTGGGAGTCTGAGGTTTGTCAGCATTTCACGTGGAGCAGAGACCTACCTGCTCTCCCCTCCTGCAAGTCCTTTGGTTGTGTGTATGCAGAGATGATTGGCCCTCCTGTACAGAGCAGAATCCTGCTCTTAAATAGATCTCTGTCTCTCTGCCATGTGGGAAACTCCAGTCCCCCTACATTCTTAATCCCAAGACTCAGCTTTTGAAGGAAATCTTTGTTCATGCTGGGAGTCCAAACCAGTTTATTTAGGAGCCTCTTGCAGACAGAGACCTTCTCAGTGCCCAGCTACAGGCTAGCCTCTTCTTGTAGCAGCAGCATTCTGCACACCCCAGCCCCCAGAGGAGTTAAGCGAATTCACTGTGCTCCCACATTAGGCTTAAAGGGACAGCTGCTATGTTGCTTATTATATATGCCTTGATTGCAATCCCTCAAGATAGGGAGTGGGGGGGTTGTAACTATTTGTGTCAGCGGGGGACAGGCTGGGAACTCAGAGCTACTCCTGGAAGCATTGAGGGAAATGTATTGTTCCAGTGTAGAGACTGCAAAGTCACTTTCCTTCCTCCTCTCTCCAGGCCAAAATATTTTAAGTTCCCTACCATAAAACCAGAGGTCGTCAAGGTTCCTCCTTGAATGCGTTAAATTCCATGGCTTTCTGTAACTCTTACCACTTTTAGGAAATGAGCCCCATGATGACTGATGATAATTTCCATGATGTAATTGCTCGATCAAATTTCACGCCTTCTCTGGCTTCCTCCTTTTTTTAACCAACTTTTGCAGCCTCACATGACAGAGCTACCAGCAAATTGCTATTATATCAAACCCTGCTATAGTTCGAGTAGAAGCTAGTCTGAACCTTTAACTCCCTTTTCTCAGTCACTTATAACTTTCTGAAACATTTACTTATGGGGCTGAAATTTCCCAAGCTTGGTCTTTGCCTGAAAGTGAAATTTTTTTTGCAAGCTTCAGCAAAATCTGTTTAGCCATTTTTAGCATGAGGAATTTGGATGGAAGAAAACACTTTTATAAAAATTTTCTTGCAATAATTGGTTTTCAGTTGCAGGGCTGTTCAAAAAAAAAAAAATCCTCCAAGAAAGTCATATATTGCTCCTAACAAGGGCTACTTATGTTTCTTAGATTATACAAAAATTATGACATATTTGAAAAATACTGTGCAATCGTATAATTGAAGATGGTACTGTAATGTACTTGCACCAATAGGCAGCATGCAGCTTGCGTGTGTAATTTTAAAGGGATGCCATTAACTTGAAATCTACTCCATTTGTAAAAAAAAAAAAAAAAACAATTAAGAGTGGGTTCAGCGTTAGGTTAGGATTAGGATTGAATCCACCTGCAAATTTTGGTGTTTTTTACAATCACATTTTCCTGGGGTTTTTTTAATAGTTTTTTTCTCTTGTTGCTGGGTGTAAAACCCACACAAACAGGGGAAACTGATCCACTGACTAATAGCTGGATGAAAATTTTCACGTTTTTCCTGGCAAAAAAATGCAGATTCTGTGACACCAAAATATTTGACACATTTATGTCAATTTCACTGAATTATTTCAGTGTGTTTGTGGGTGGGGGGGAGGGGTTTAAGAGGGAGAACTTTTAAAAAATCCCCCAAAATCAAAATCAAATGTTTTGACAGTTTTGAAACTAAATGCTTTGGGTTTTGTTTGAAACAACTGTTTCCAAATTCCCTCTCATTTTATTTTTAAGAGGGTAGATCAAAATGAAACATTTCAGTCTTGTCAAAATGCTTCATTTGACCCCAAAACAATTTATTTTTTTCAGCATTACCAATGAACCAAAATATCCCTTAATCACCCAGCAATTCTGATTATACCGGGGAAACAGTTATCTTAGGTGTTAATTGTAACAATGGGACATATCCTTTCAACTAGAGAATTTCCTGACTTGTGCAGACAACAACTTTGGAGCTTGCATGTTCCATTAGGCCCTGGTCCAGCAATGCACTTCAGCATGTGCTTAACTGCAAGCATGTGAGTAGTTCCATGGAAACCCAAGGGCTAACTCATGTGCTTAAAGTTAAGCATGTGCTAAAGTGCTTTGCTCAATCAGGGCCTATATGTAGCTTTTTGTATGGGATTTGTATATATTAACTATACAGTGCCATCAGTGTGCTAGGTGCTGCTGGACAGACAATATAATCATAGAAATGCAGAGCTGGAAGGGACCTTGATAGGTCATCTAGTCCAGTCCTCTGCCCTGGGGCAGTACTAAATATTATCTAGACCAGTGGTTCCCAAACTTGTTCCGCCGCTTGTGCAGGGAAAGCCCCTGGAGGGCCGGGCCGGTTTGTTTACCTGCCGTGTCCGCAGGTTCGGCCGATCGCGGCTCTCAGTGGCCACGGTTCACTGCTCCAGGCCAATGGGAGCTGCTGGAAGCAGAGCAGGCCTGCAATCAGCCAATCACCCTTACTTCTGCGCTGCTGCCTTCAGAGCTGGGCCCTCAGTGAGCAGCCACCACTCTCTGGCCGCCCAGCTCTGAAGGCAGCAGCACAGAAGTAGGGCTGGCCTGGTATGGTATTGCCACCCTTACTTCTGCGCTGCTGCTAGTGGGGCGCTGCCTTCAGAGCTGGGCGCCCGGCCCACAGCTGCCTCTCTCCAGCCACCCAGCTCTGAAGGCAGTGCAGAAGTAAAGGTGGCAATACCACGACCCCCCTAAAATAACCTTGCGACCCCCCTACAACTCCCTTTTGGGTCAGGACTCCCAATTAGAGAAATGCTGGTCTCCCCTGTGAAATCTGTATAGCATAGGGTAAAAGCACACAAAAGACCAGATTTCATGGGGTCAGACCAGATTTCGTGGTCCGTGACGTGTTTTTGGTGGCCGTGAATTTGGTAGAGCCCTATCTATGACCATTTCTGTTCTGTATTTTGGGGGGTGGGAAGCAGGGTGATGTATTCATATTGTATGATGAAGATGAAAGACTCTCCATTCTAATAGTAACTCAGAAGGATGTTAAACAGCAGCTACTGTACCATAGGTGCCGGCTTCCTCTGGGCCTGGGGGGTTCTCAACCCCCCGCTCTGCCCCAGGCCCCGCCCCCACCCGCCCCCTTCCCCCAAGCTCCCACCCCTGCCCTGGCTCTTCCCACTCCACCTCTTTCCCACCTAGTTCTTCCCCTCCCGCCAGCATGCCCCATCCGCACTCCTCCCCCTCCCTCCCAGAGCCTCCTGCACGCTGCGAAACAGCTGATTGCGGCAGGCAGTAGGTGCTGAGAGGGAGGGGGAGGCGCTGGGACAGGAGGGGGAGCTGGCTGCCAGTGGGTGCTGAGCACCCACTAATTTTTGTCCATGGGTGCTCCAGCCCTGGAACACCCACAGAGTCGGTGCCTATGAATTAGACATCTTTAAATCAGCAGGTCCAGGATTTTAAAAGAGCTGGTTGAGGACGTCTGGGCTGTTAATGTTGAATTTCAATAAGTCTTAGAACACTGGAAAAGTTCCAGAGGACTGGAAGTAACCTAATGTTGTGCCAATACTTTAAAAAGTAAATAGGATGACCTGGATATTATAGGCCTGTCAATCTGACATTGATCACAGGTAAATTAATGGAGCAGCTGAGACAGAACTCAATTAGTAAAGAATTAAATGTGAGTAATGTAATTAATATCAATCAGCTTGGGTTTATGGCAAATAGATCTTGTCAGATTCGATATTTTTTATGAGATTACTAGTTTGGTTGATGAAGGTATAGTGTAGATGTAATATACTTGGCTTTCTGTAAGGCATTTGAGTTGGTACTTCCGGATATTTTGATTAAGAAACTAGACTGATTCAAAATCAACATGGCACATTCAATGGATTAAAAACTGACTAATGGATAGGTCTCCGAATGTAACTGTAAATGGGAAATCATCATTGTATTGCTAGTGGGGTCTATAGGGATTGGTTCTTGGCCCTACACTATTTAACATTTTTATCAGTGAACAATTTAGCAAGGGCTATGGCGGATTTGCCATCACTGGAAATGTTAAAATCAAGATTGGCTGTTTTTCTAAAAGATCTGCACTAGTTCAACAAGGAATTTAATTCAGGGAAGCCCTATGGCCTGAGCTAGACGGCAGTCAAACTAGATGACCACAAAAGTCTCTTCTGATAAGCTATGCAGGGAACCATTCCCGGGGTCTTGTTCCTGTATACTTTCACTGTGCCTAGGGTCTTGGATGTGTACATACTTGGGGCTGCTAGCCCTTCCCACTGCTCACACTGCTGTCTGCATTATATTTTAAACTAGCATTAGTATGTCTCCTTGAACTGGGAATCACACCCCAGCCTGAAGTGCAGATGTGCCCTGTAGCAAGTGGAGCTCTGCTCTTGACTCTGACTCATTCTGGT